TACCTCAGTGTAAATACTCGCATCTGATTGGTCAATTAGCGGTCAACATTTTTGCCTGTACCTCACCTGTGCATCATGGGATATCATATTATTGACCGCGTATGTTACTGAACTACACTTGTGAATTATAGGGAATATGACGTCATAATGTTTACAGAAAAAACATGGTAGACGGACATTTCGTAAACGTTGATGAAAGTGATATTTTAACTTTGCTAGAAGACAAATATAGCAAAAATACAAAAAGAAACGAAAAATTGATTTACTAGTGAGTACGCAGTTATGTGCCAAAAATAGAGAGTTTATACTGTCTTAAGATTTTCTTAAAAAATTATTGCTGGGGTGGTTCGGAGAAAAGATTGTGAAATGAAGCCATGATTGATGACTGTCGATTAGTTTCTTCTGACTAACAAAACAATTGTAGACCTCTCCATTCGGTCAACCGTCAAAATCATATACCTCGACTGTATACCTTGAAACTACTGTTGACCTCGACCTTCGGTCTCTGTCAACAGTAGTTTCTCGGTTTACAGTCTCGGTATACAATTTTCAGGCCTGTCAACTGTCCCGCAATTTGCGTATTTGTCACGCATTTGCTGAAGAATTTGAAGTCACGCCAGTTTTTTTTGCGTGACAGAAAATGTCACGCAAATACGCATTTTACCTGGTAATTGTCAAGCAAAAATATTTCTGTAGAAATTTTTTCGAAATATGTTTACGATACGGTAAAAATACGAACGTGGGAAAAAACCGAACGCAATTTGTTCGGATTTGTCACGCGAATCCCGTATATGTCACGCATGTTCATTGGAAATTTTCGTACCTACCCCCCCCCCAGATTTGGACTTAGGTGTCCAACATTTTGAAGTCACTCATATTAGGTGGTCCCAAGTTGACAGCCCTGAATTTTGCCGGTTGACCTCTGGAGAGGTCAACAATTGCAGATCAAAATTAGGCTAATTTGCGTGTCCCGCAATGTCCCGCGAAAGTATAAAAATAAAGAGGAAGGGTTTAACTTTCATTTTAATTACGAAAATAGGGATGTAGGTCACAAATAGTTCCAACGTTGGCCTTTTTACTACCCGTGTGGCCTTCATCTCAGAACTCAGCAAATGTTTGCAAACGCGAGTTACAATAAATGGACGCTGATATCTAGAAAGGATTTGTAGAAAAAACCGGGTACCGGGTAGTAAATCCTCCATGCTCGGTTCAAGCTTGGTATTCGGTACCTGGTCAAAAAAAGGGTACCCAAAAAACGAAAAATGCGAATATATAACATAATTATATTATGAGAAAACGTGTAAGATTTGTTTTGAATTTACAAAAATGTATGTTACATCCTTCAAAATTGAGCTAGAAGCTTCAAATAAAAAGCATATTTTAAGGCTCTTTTCTTCCCCTATCGTCATGGCCATATTTTCATTGGTTATGGGGGGGGGGTGCGATCGCACCATCGCACCCTCTCCTGGCTACTCCTATGACATTGTAAGACATAACAATTTACAATTAAGTGGACATTTTGTCGACAATTGGGATAACTTAAATTATGATTAATAATCAAAATTTTACACGTTGCATCATGTAAATTAACACACCTCACCTCTCTGCTAAAGCAACGATAGCTATTTACGGATTTAAATCATAATCAAAACAATTCACGTACCAACATACGAACTATTGATTTGTCTTGTTATTCAAATCGTCTTACAATGTCATTGGCGTAGCCAGGAGAGGGTGTGATGGTGCGATCACACCCCCCCCCTTCATTACCAATGGAAATATGACCATGATGATAGAGGAAAAAAAGAGCCTTAAAATGCTTTTTATTTGAAGCTTCTAGCTCAATTTTGAAGGAAGTTACATACATTTTTGTAAATTCAAAACAAATCTTACATGTTTTCTAATGATCTAATTATGTTGTATATTCGTATATTTCGTTTTTTGGGTACCGGTTTTTTCGACCGGGTACCAAGTTTGAACCCAGCATGGAGGATTTACTACCCGGTACCCGGTTATTTCTACAAACCCTATCTAGAAAAGTAACCTCATTCCCTATAATTTGATGTAGATTAATCGAACCCCTATATCATGGACCTTCAATTGATTATATTTGATTAATCAGTATCTGAAAGTTTGATTTAAGTACTTTTACACGCTTTTACATTAGTCCAAATCACGCAAATCCCTTGAATGTCCCGGGACATCCTGCAAATTTAGGTGGATGTCCCGCGAAATCCCGCAAATTTAGGGCACTTTGTCTAAACAATCTGTCCCTCTATGAAGTTTTTGGTGGTAAACCTGTTAACTGTCCCGCAATTAGGGTGTTTGTCCCTCGAATGGTCCCGCGTAATCCCGCGAATTTGATAAAAAAATTTGGCCTATAAGCGCAATCACGCAAATCCCTTAAATGTCCCGCGAAATCCCGCAAATTTAGTAGATGTCCCGCAAGATCCCGCGAATTTTGGGCACTGGGTCTAAAAAATCTGTCCCGCGAGAAAATCTTTGGGGGTTGACAGTACTGCAATTGTATACTGTACAGCCCATAATGGATTACAATGACTTCATGAATCACACCCTTGGTGTACCAGTTCCTGAAAATTTCTTCTACCCAAATGATGACCTCATCACCACCAAGCATATGTTGAATCATTGATATAAAGATTTACACAAGCATTGATCCACTTGGACTGCCTGTGTAACAATTATGACTAGGTAGATATTACAGTCAGAATCAGATCTATAGGAGTTCACAATTGCAAGGAACATGTAGAATTAACCACGTAATGCATTCCTGCTACAGTAAAACCTTGACAAGGTACATGTATATCACTATGTGATGAAATGACACTACATGGTTGGAACCACAAAGTACTATAACAGGCATTTGTTACAAATAAGTGCTATAAAAATAGGATATCTTGGTGGTGTAGACCTACCTCCAAAGGATAGTAGACCTTACAATTATCCTCACTGTCTAACGTCTTGACAAAGTCCTTCAAGTGTTTGACTTTGATCTTTTGAAGAACTTAAAGCACCCTAGCCCTACTTTGTTTGTGCTATTTGGTGGGACATACAGACATTGTTCCATGGGCTCTTTGACAGAGCACCTTGAATATAACAAATCCATATAGCCCAAAACCATGATCTAATGTGAAAAGAAACAATTCCCCCTTTCCCCCACCATTCAAGAACCAATATCACAATCCAAGACCAGAAGACCAAGGGACATTTCATTCATACTGAAGTCATTTTTGTAAAAAAATATGATTTCTGGCCCATTTCTGTAACCACTCCCATCATGGCAGATTATTTGTGAAATTTAGTGTTCTTTAGAAAATATAGTAAAAAAACCTTAAAAACAATTTTCTAGTAGTATTTAAGTGAATTATGCATAATGTAATCCCTACTGAAATGTATCCAGCAGATTTATGTGTGATGATGCATGATATATGGCATAAAAAGGGATTATAATCCACACCCCCATTATTAAACCCTTCTCATTACCATTGTTCATGTTGTTCAGCTCACTGTGAGCTGTGTATTCTCCACCACTTTTATATTTAGCTGTACAGATCCAAAATTGAACCAGAACAACGGCAACGCCAAAGCGTAGCGAATCCCATCGAACAGAAATAGCTGGCATTTTTACAAACGAAATATATAGCAAATATCATAAAATAACACACATAAGAAAGTTGTCATCAGAAGAAGTAATATGCTTTTTTATAGTATTCACATGCCAAATATGAACAAAATCGCTCCACTACTTTTCGAGTTATAGTAAAATACTTTAAAATGGTGGCCATTTTTCAAAATGGCCGCCTTCTACAAAAAGTGTCATAAGACAGTGTGCCATGCTAATAGTATTTGAATACCAAATATGAACAAAATTGCTCCACTACTTTTCAAGTTACAGCAAAAATCGTAAAATAACGAGTAAAGGCCGAGTAAAATACGTTTAAATGGCGGCCATTTTTCAAATTCCATTTTTTGTCATCAGAAGAAGTAATATGCTTTTTTTATAGTATTCACATGGCAAATATGAACAAAATCGCTCCACTACTTTTCGAGTTACAGTAAAATACTTTAAAATGGTGGCCATTTTTCAAAATGGCTGCCTTCTACCAAAAGTGTCATTAGACAGTGTGCCATGCTTATATTATTCACATACCAAATATGAACAAAATCGCTCCACTACTTTTCGAGTTATAGTAAAATACGTTAGAATGGCGGCCATTTTTCAAAATGGCCGCCTTCTACCAAAAATGTCATTAGACAGTGTGCCATGCTTATAGTATTCACAAACCAAATATGAACAAAATCACTCCACTACTTTTTGAGTTAAAGTAAAATATGTTAAAATGGCGACGATTTTTCAAAATGGCGGCAAATTTTCAAAATGGCCTCCTCCTACCAAAAGTGTCATTAGACAGTGAGCCATGCTTATAGTATTCACATACCAAATATGAACAAAATCGCTCCAATACTTCTTGAGTTACAGCAAAAATCGTAAAATAACGAGTAAAGGCCGCCATTTTTCAAGATGGCTGCCATGTGCTATTTTAATTTCTACATTTCTAGCTTTATCAATGTCCTATATAATTTTTTTACATTTAAAACATAATGCTATCACAGTTTTACATATTGCACCTAAATTACTGTAAAATCGGCACTAAAATGGCCGCCATTTTTAAATGAGCGGCCATTTTGGAAATCGGCTTTTTAGCAGAACTTCTATTCCCATAGGGTATATGTGTACAAAATATGAACAAAATCGGGCCAACGGTATTTGAGTTATTGCCCGGACGGACGGACGGACGGACGGACGGACGGACAGACAGACGGACGGACGGAGGCGTTCCCTATATCCCTCCGAACTTCGTTCGATGGGATAATTAGGCAACATTTTCAGTTGCAAAAAGTGGTGGAGAACACAGCTCATATAGTTTTTTTTCTAAAACATTTCTGCCACCATTTTGGATACAATGCCACCTATCAAAATGTACCGCTCTGTTGGATGTGATAAACAGAGTCCAGCTATCTCTAGGAGAAAAGTAACTAAATCTAACACTCTTGGCAAATTATGGAAAGAAAAATATCACAAAGATCCCCCTGATAATTCAGTTATATGTTACAAATGCTGGATTACACTCGCAGGACCCAAACACATTCCTTGTAACCCTCCCCAATCAGCAGATGAAGGTGAAAAAACAGATAATCCATCTATGAAGATACAAATTCCCTTTGTCATGACTACAAAGTCTAAGAAGAGGTGCATTGTTTGTGACTAGCAGATTAAATCTCAAGTTATGAAACTTTTTATATTTTCATCCTGCTTTTACTTAAACTATTTTTGATAGGAGTTGATCAGTATAATAAGTGACCAAATATGTGTAAAAGTATTGCTGTCCATCAAAAAAAGTAATTAATTTAGTTAGGGGGAGGGGGTCAAACCCTGATTTCTTTAGGTGACGGACATCAATTATGGTTTTCCGGGGAATTTCAATCTTCAACATTTTTGGTTTTGTTACAAGGGGGGAGGGGTTTAGACCTAAATAAATTAACTACGTTTTTTTGACGGACATCAATATTTTGACCCGACCCCTTAGAAACTGTACATTCAACTTTCAGCAACTGTACCTATTGGTACCCATAGAAATTCAATGAATACTTATATGTTGACTAAAAGATTTTCAAACATTTTCCTTGTGTTAAGTATGGTGCAGTTACTACTCAAAGGCTATTAAGATAACTATTCCCCATGGAAATAAATGTAAAGTCAGGTTTAACCCATGATTTGATTTTATTTAGGTATGTTTAAGGAAATTACTCGATCATTAGATTCATTTTACCAACTTAACCTATTTGCACCCAGTGACCTCATTGGCTCATCATTTGACCTAATTTTGAAATATTATTGTGAAGTATATTTGTGAGGATACTCTAGATGCAAAATAAGTTTGATTCTGATGGGGGCAGAAAAGGGGGTCTGTTGGGACGGTACCTTTATTTTTCCAAGTTTCAATCCAGATCTGATTTTTCAAAATAAATATACTACTTTTATTATTACATATATATGTACACTAGTATCTTGTTGACCTATATTCAGCACTATATTGATGAATGGGCCACTTATTAGGGCCAATATTCAATCATAAAGTGTACAGGGGTAGAGATGCCAAACCAGGAAGTCTTTTTGTGTCTGTCAAAATCCATTTGCATCCTGCACATCCCTACATATTATCCAGATATGTTATTAATTAATGAAAAATAACAGTATAATCTTTGGATTTACAAAGTTGTATGGGATTTCATAAGTGTAAAAGTTGCTTTTGAAGCATTTTTTATAGCCATTTTGTAGGTAAAAAATGATGAAAAAAATGTATAATCTTTTTTTAATTTGAAGTATGACCTGAATCAATTGATCACTTTATATTTGCACATCTGATGTGATATACCATTTGTGTCATATTGTAAAATGATTTAATTGACTTAACATGCGGATACCATCAGATTCCAATGGAGGCCATTGGTTTCTATTGATGTATAGTCAATAGAACACATCCAATGTCAAGTCAATATACCCTTGCTGAACTTAATGACCTCAACCTCAGCCCATGTGGGTCCAAACGCTTAAACATTTTACGTGACATTGTATTCTTTATGTTACACCTAAAAATGATTCATTTTTTTCATGGGGAAATCATAATGAAAAGTGCACAAGACCTTTTTTCAATTTTTGCATAGATAAATGACGGAATCCATTGACTTCATAACCAAAGTAATAAAATACTATATTATTATATTACTTTATATGTTTCTGTGTAGATTCATCTCCCATATTCTTAGTATAACTCCCATAAAATCTCCGTTTTTTGCTGTCGAAATCTACCATATTTAAAAGGAATTTGACAAATCTGTGACCTTGATTATTGCAGGCACGCTTCTTTCTTTTACTCCAAGAAGGATTGGCTCCCATGGTTCGATATCGATACTTTCATTCCCATGATTCAAATTGCTTTTCTGCGATCAGTTGAGTATAAGTTTGCACACCAAATGTCCACAAACGGGGGCCAGTTCATATTCTGTCATACTTCTGTCAGGAGAATACATTTTGTTTTTATATGGCGCTAAACAAAATATTCCCGCAATATAAGGCGCATTATGGGTAGGGACTGCTGTGAAATAATGAATGTAAGTGACATCTATCTTAGATTATAAGTTCTAATTAATTTATTAGCTGTGCATGCATTTTTCATAAATCTACAGTTAACTCCAGTTTTTCAAATATTTACCGTAAAAACTTAAGTTTTTTCAGAAATCGACCGTTAAACACTCCTGTTTTTTCAAAATCTACCATAAAAACTTCTGTTTTTTCAAAAATCTACCATAAAAACTCCAGTTTTTTTTAAATTTACCGTAAAAACTCACCTTTTTTAAGAAATCTACCGTAAAAACTCATGTTTCTTCAAAATTGACCCTAAAAACTCCAGCTTTTTCAAAATCTACCGCAAAACTCCTGTTTTTTTAAATCTCCTGTAAAAACTACCATATGTTTCAAAAATCTCCCTTAAAAACTCCCGCAAAAAATACCGGATTTTGAAAACAAAAGTACCGCAATTTTTTTTAAATCTCCCAAAAATTTTTCATTTTAGGTTGGCAAGTCTGTTTTGGGATAAGCAGTGAAACATCGAAATAAATCTTTTTAATTCTCTGAAGTAATTTAACTTGTGTTATTCAATGTATTAGTTATGTGATAAATAGTAACATAAAATACCATTTTTTAATTTGCTGTTGATTTGTTCCTTCAGTTATTGAGTCTTTGGTTTCTGTAATAATCTTTCTATCTTGTAAACTAAAAGAATCCATTCTGCTCAAAATAACTTAAACAATTAAGTGTTGATTCAAGTCACTTGATATGCCCCAAAAATTAGCAGGTTAATTATAAGCCTTTTTTACCGATACACTGTCATTTAAGTTTAACCTCCAAGGCCTTCTATTAAGACTTGTCCGGCCAGTTTACTTTTTATCAGGTATTATAAGGTTGCCTATTAGTGTTCATGAGGGCATATCAAAGGACCAATATCAAGTCATTTTCTTACAATTCTTCAAGTAAAATGGATGCATATAGTTTACATGATAGACAGATTATTACAGGAAGATCTAACTCAATCACAAGTGAAAGAATTTCAAAAGAACCACAAAAATGTAATTGGTATGTTATATTACTTTTTCATTTTTTCCGTTATCATTTTCAAGTCATTAATTCAATTGAAGATCAGAAATGGATTTTCAAAAACATCCAAATGCTCAAGATTATACTCAATTAACAGAAAAATGATTGGCATATTGGAGAGCAGTTCAACACATTGAATATCATGAAACTGAAACTATCCATGGTAATTGAAAGCTGGCCTGCTTAAATATCTTGGTTATATAGCATTTAACATGATTAGCATGAATCTTATATATTTGCTTATAAATGTCTATATTTCAGGTGGCTTATTGCTATCCTGGTCTTCTTGGCACTTGTCCTCTTTGCACTGGTTATCCTCATTGTGGCGATGTTCCTTGTCCTCGCTGCACTCAGCAACTCAAGTGATAATAAAAGTAAGATAATTTATATTAAAGACCTTATTTTTGTTAGTGGAGGAACACCTAAAAATAATGAATAAGTTCTTCAGTAATAATTTAGCCCAAAACTGCATTACTTTAATTTCACACATATTCTACTTGGCGATGCACAAACTCTCAAAATCTACAAGAATAACTAGTTAATATTATCATCCTACATGTATGACATACAAGGAAAGAGTGAAAATACTACACTGATGTTTAGACACATCCATTTGCTATAGCCTAATTCAAATGTTTGCCAAATTAAATTGTTGTCAATATAAAGATTGGAGGAAGTACAAGTATTTCAGGAATGGTGAAACATTTTCAAACCTGAGCTGCATTTATTATGAACATGAATATCTCAAAAGCATCCGTTCACTTGAATTTTAGGAACATTATACTTTTCTGAATGACAACAGGAAATATAATTCTATTTGCCTCTAATCACTTATTCATTTACATTTAAGGTGCTCTGTCAAATAGTCCAATGGAACAATGTGCATATGTCCCACCAAATATCACAAACAAAGCAGGGTTAGGTCGATTCAAGTTCTTCAATGCTCTCATGGACTGTACCTACTCTCCACAAATCAAAGTCAAATACTTGAAAGACTTTGTTAAAGATTTAGACAGTGCAGATAACTGCAAAGTCTACTACCCTCTCAAGGTACGCAACTATAACATTATTCAAACAGATTTGGAGCAACACCAGTTTCTCATTTTGTATAACAAGGTGCTAGTTTTACAATTAGCCTATGCCTGTATCTGTATCTTACATTTAGGTTGCTGCTGAGAATCGATTGTATGTGATCATCGGATGTGACAGTGTTATCAGTCTTGAAATAGCTAGAGGGAGAATGGACGATGAGCTAGTATGTACTGTTCAGCCCATAATGGATTACAATGATTTCATGAATCACACCCTTGGTGTACCAGTTCCTGAAAATTTCTTCTACCCAAATGATGACCTCAAATGTGAACCTCTGTTTGGTATCTTTCGAACTATCAATTATCCAGTAGGTAAATATGGCACCATTTGATTCATTAGTTTTTAAAAATAGGTTAAGTTGCAAAAGTAGGTCAAATTGTAAAAGTGTATTAAATTACAAATGCATCATGGATAAGTATAACCCACATAATACAATAGCACAATTGAATGATTAAATATGATAGCATTAGCTCATCATACATTTTTGACAATAGGTACCAGCTATGATGACATCCTGGATTCTTGGAGAGCAAGGGGATTGAACAGTATGAAACGGAGAGTTGATCTTGATCCCACAAATAGAGAAGTCTTCCACTATGTTGGAGAGACAAAGGTATTTTTATTTCATTTAAAAGAAGCATATATTCAATCGTTGATATAAAGATTTACACTGCACTTCTTAACTATAGCATCATTGACATCATCAATAAATTAGTGTTTAATTGGTGTCAATGTGTAATTGAAAGGTCTAATTGATAATTGGGAAATAGTTGTTTGTTTTTTTCATTGTAGACCCTGGTTTTGCGCATCTATAATTCTCCAGAGCATCTTGATAAGACCTTATTCACCAGTAACTGGGGAATCATACATGACATCACAGCAGGTGTAAACCATGAGATACAAGCATTGATCCACTTGGACTGCCTGTGTAACAATTATGACTAGGTAGATATTAAAGTCAGAATCAGATCTATAGGGGTTCACAATTGCAAGGAACATGTAGAATTAACCACGTAATGTATTCCTTACTATCTCAGATATAATATCTCCTAAAAGGTCTGTAATATTTTATAAAGGACAGGTCCATTTAACAGACTATTGGTCCACTTAGACTTTTTCCAAAAAAACTCCTTCTTCCATTTACTTTTAAAACCGATTGCAAGTTGTAGATAAACCTTTTTTCTTGAGATGTGCAATTTCAAAAAGTGGCATTAGTTTTCAGTTTCTTTGAAAAATTGGCAGTAAGACCCCCTATTACAAGGCTGTCTGAATATGGGTACACACTATGTTTACCATCAAAATAGTATCAAAATATGTATCATTACATAGAATTTATTATATGGAACATATGGCATACACGCATTCGGAGTAGAACATTAACAAACTCTAGCTATATATGAAGTTTACCAATGCAAATCTGGAAAATATTATCATTTTTGTTCATTTTGTTATCAAGTTTTAGCATGGTGCTCATTTCCTTTCGTTGAAAATTTAACCATCAGCCCACACTCCCACAAATAAAGATATTGAAACTGGATAATGAAGAGACTGTAAAGTAGCTTCTCTGCAAATATCATTGTTGTGAGAGTGTGGGCTCACAACTAAAACTTAACTTTTGTGATGAAAATAAGGCTGACTGATTTATGTTTTCAATATGGCTGCTAACCTGGGCATACATGTATACTACATAACTCCATGTACAGATTAGGCCATTCAAAATTAATCATATGTTGGCATTCTGATGAAGGGCCTTATATTAAAAACTACAAAACCTTTATTTATTTAAAGGGTTTTATATATTATTTAACAGTGAAAGCGCAATAACACATTGTGGCAAAGCAAGTATACCTCTTCATTCAGATGACCTTGTTAATGAAGACAATGCTAAAGCTTATATACATGTAGTCTTTAATCAATCTTGGAACACATTTCAATACAATATAATTCAAGATCACAATTCCCTCTGTCATTTATACGCATTACAAGTACAGAGTGCATGGGAACATTTTTTTTTTGAAAACATAGAATTTAGTGACATTAATTATAAAAAATCTTTGAATGGCTTAAGTGTTTTTCTAAATAGGGAATAAGTAGAAATTATTTTAGTCAATCCTTTGAGTGTCATGCCATTTATACATGATGTTGCCTTATATTTTATTATGTATATTGAAATTCAAATATGGGAACTGCAAATTGGCAAATAACCTTAAAAATGAGTCTCCATACACACATTTAATTTCAAATTCCAATGCAAATGCCAATGGGCATTTATTAAAAGTGACCCTATAACTATTTAGTATATGGCAAACATGTTTAGAAAACTGGCGAGAAGCAATTGAAATAAGAAAATCCATTCTCATGGAAGTGCCCTTATGTGCATTTAATTGCAGCCATATTATCCAAATTGCCCATGGGCATTTAAAGTAATAATCACATCCCAACTCTTAAAACATGCTTATATTAGTATACTGTAGGGTGTCTCAAAAGGCAACAAGAACATTCATTTTTGAAACAGGAAAATTTAGTCCCCAAAAAATGCCCATATGGGGATTTATTCTCAAGATTTTCATGTAATTGCTCATGAGAATTTATTAAAACTATTTTTATTTCCATTCGCGTGTCTTATTATCAGTCACAATCAAAATTAAGCCAATTGCTTTCATTTCTTGTATTAGAAAACGGCAAAATTTTGACAAAAATAGCATCTCTCAGTTGACCTTTAAATTACCCTAATGTCAAGGTCAAATGTCAAGATTTTCAGAAATCACATTTTAAGTAATACGTCATACTTCCTCTTCAATTCCATCTCAATATATACTTGTTTTGTAGGGGGGCTAAAAGAGGGGTTTACCGCCACCTGTCCTTTGTAAAGTTATTAAGGATTCAAAGTGCAAAAATGGGGGGAAATGTTTAAATTCTCCCAAATGAATATTGTAACCACATTGATAGAACAATAATACATTATTATAACAAGGCACCTGACATGAACACACCATCAAAAAACTTTCAAAATGGTCGCCAGAAACTAGGTTGCCCAGAAGTTCATCAGCACTAGAATCGTTACCAGACCACTTTTTTGCCATTGACTTGGCAGGTGGTTTATTAGTTGAAAAAATTACCATGCAAATGAGATAAAAATTATTGACCAATCAGAGAACATGTAATACACTACTAATACATCACTAATACAGTACTTATACATCACTCCTGAAGTCTCAAATATTACTAACAGATCACCAATACATCACTCCCTGAAGTCTTATACACCACTAATACACCACTACTAATTTCATATTTCCATGAGGTACAAAATCTCTATAATGCTAAGTTCAGTGAGAAATATGAACAATATTCAACATATACATCTTCTGCATACCTTTACGATTATGTTGAGCAAGATTCAATAAAGTCCAGTCACCCTTCTGGTTGTAATGCTACATTGCATTGTAATTCCCTCTCATTTTTACTATTTCCACCATTTAAAAGGGGTTTCTCATTCTAAATCAAGGATCAGTTTTAATAAACTACTAATAGACCATTCTAGAACACAACTTACAAACCACTCCACCTAAAAAACCCTTACAGTGGTGTACTAGTTGAATATTGTCAGTTTTAATACATAACTTACAAACCACTTGACTAAACCAATTGTCATGGTGTATTGGTGATCTATTGGTGAAGTTTTAGGGGTATATTAGATTTCTTTTTTATAGGTATGGTAATCAGCTCTAGAACTTGATATCCTCTATCATGTGTGTGAATTTAGAGACAATCCGGCAAGTGGTTTTCCTGAAATGGTGATGACAAGAATTTCCGAAAAAAACTCAAAATGGCCATCAGAAAACAAGATGGACACCCAAAAGCTGATCAGCTCTAGAACTTGATATCCTCTATCATGTGTGCAAATTTGGAAAAATTCCGATGAGTGCTTTTCCTGAAATTGCGATGACAAGATTTTCCGAAAAACCTTCGAAATGGCCATGTTAATCAGCTCTAGAACTTGATATCCCCTATAATGTCTGTGAATTTGGAGAAAATCTGAAGAATGGTTTTCCTGAAATGGATATTACAACATTTTCTGAAAAACCTTTAAACTACCCAACAATTAATCAGCTCTAGAACTTGATATCCTCTATCATATGTGCTAATTAGGAGAAAATCTGATGAGTAGTTCTCCTGAAATGGCAATGCCAAAAAGTTGAACGATCAGGATCACGATAACGATCATGACCACGACGACTATATCCAATGGATGGTGTGATAAAAATCTTTATAAAATAGACATGACATGAAAAGGAATGAAATGAATAATATTCTAAAATTGAACCAATTTTTGTTTATTGTTATATTTACGTTATGAAATGTTGTTATATAAAATCCAACATAAAATGTCAAATGATGTTCCAATATTTATTAATGTTCAGGATAAATCCTACGCTAGTTGTAAAAGTTACATGTTGATATTATCCTGTTTGTTAGCTCAAAAGCTAACGGTTTTAAGTGTTAATTTAGAATTTCGATAGCAAGTTATGTATTTTTGAAGTTTAAATCTAAATGATGTTTGTGTTGCTTAAACCAAGAATGTCCGAAAAAGTGATTCTGTACTGGCAAGATGCTATCTTAACCAGATTCAAAAGAATGTTAAGACCGCCTCTTTTCCATATAAGGAATGCTAACGAAAGTAACACTCTTAAAATTTGAACCATACAATATTATTAGCTAAGTCTTAAGAAGATCTGATTCTCCCTTTAATAAAGCCACAACAGGACAACAATCCCACAAACATCTTCTACATGGTTATAAACAACACTGAAAATGATTTCATTTATCATAACTTTGGCCATTATTTACATAATCAGGTTTCACATATGTATTCACACCTGCACTGTCAATAATTTTCTGAATTTCAAAAAATATGTGAAAGTGATGTGAACAGTCATAGTATAAGGAAATAAATCTCTTACCATACTGTAATTAAAAACAGGTCATAATACATTTACTTTTACCTTAACAAATCAGACAAAATTATTATGGACTGGATTTTCTGAGAAAAACTGCAACTCTTGATCCAACTTGCAGGTTCATTTGCAGAATCAAACATTATTCAGACTCTGTTTGACTTTGAATGCAGTAGTATTACCTCAGGAAAGCATGAAATAAGGAATTTTATTAAATGTAATTTTGAAGCTATACTTTTATAGGTCTGAAATCACAGGGGTCAAACTCCTCGGGACGTATGGAAACCATTACGTCCAGCAAAAACGTTAAAGGTTTATTTACAGTATGGCAAGTGATTTTAGACAGTCATATCTTGAGCCAGAGTACTTTCTGGGAATAAATACAGTGGTTTTTATTAAAACAATAAGTTTTCTTTCAAGTGAAGTACCCATAGTTATAAAAATATCAATCCAACTATTTAACGGTTTTGCCGGACGTATTGGTTTCGCTACGTCTCGAGTAGTTGGACCCGTGGTAGTTGTGTACTAAAAAAAAAATATTTGTTACACTCAAATACAATTCAAAATATTGCTTATATTACAAATTATCAGATTTGAAAATGCTGATAAGGCAGTCAATATTTGATTTTAGGTACAATAATATCATTCACCCCCTGCTTTGTTTGGTAGAAACTACAGCCCCTAAACAGAATATCAAAAATAAATGAGTTATGCAATAAATTAATTTTTAAGTAATTATAAACAATGTTCAAGAAACCGTTATGTATATAATATTGGCACTACAGTGTATTTAGTGGGCTCAATGGTGAAATCAACAATTTTCCAAAACAAGGGACTTTTGTAAAAATAGATGAACTGCCTCATATATTTGTGAATTAGGTGAACAAAGTGTGACAAAAAAGGATGGAGACAGATGAATAAGTGGCCAATGCTACAGACTTACCATTTGTGCCAAAAACTGTGAGGAAAAAGGTCTACACCAAATGAATTTCAAATTTGAACCAAAAAGTTATATATACCTTTAATGCATTCTTATGAAAGGACAATTTAATAAAAACACCACTAGAAAGCAATTATTGGTGCGATTATTGATTTAAATGTTTATTGCAACCACTTCAAATAACATGTATTTGAGTTTTAACTGTTAATACAGAGTAATCAATATTATTTAGTCATTTTGATAAAGTTATGCTATGACTTTCAATATTTTCACAACATATCAGGATTGCTATCATGCAAAATTACTTACAATATGAATTTTATACTCCATGGAGAAGAGATGTACAAGACATGCAGTGATAAATATCACACTTTGAATATTCAATATCGAAAGATGAGTGCACATTAATCAAATGATTTAATCAATAGCAAAAGGGACAGACAGATGGCTTCTCTATATCCTTACACAAACTTCATTTGGCAGGATAAAGATTAACTCAAGAATGATTTAAATTACATATGATTTATTCCAGATTGAAGCAGATATATAAAATGCAATACATTTTCCAAACTCGAAAGCCAAAATAATAATAAAATTAAAACGCTTAAAAACTACTTTATAACATATATTATAATGGTTTAAATCAAATATCTCAAAAATTGTGTGGTTTTTGGATTGAAAGAAGTGTTAGTTTTACTGCACTCATGGAAAGTGATGTAATTTAATCTGTTTATATGTATGCTAAATCATAATATATATTTTCTAATATACAATGTATTAAACTCTTGTATGATTTTTCTAACCCTACTGTTTTATATTACCCATGAGTCCCCTTCTTCATTATACCAATGCACTCACTGTATACAAAATCCTCAATAGATCCATCTTAAAGTTTGTTCAAAATGTGAATATACATTTTTATTTGTATTAGTCATAATTGTTACAAAGACAGTCCAAGTGGATCAATGCTTGTGTCTCGTGGTTGATCCCAGCAGTGATGTCATGTATAAGTCCCCAATTGCTCATAAATAGGACTTTATCAAGTTCCTCAGGGGAATCCCACACACGCAAAACAAGAGTCTACAATTAAAGATAAATATGAAATCTTTAATCAAGTCCTTAATTTTTAAATTTCAATTACATGTAGTACTTGTTATCAAATACATATTAAATTTTGATTCTTCATATTATACATATCTCAAATGGATTTATTAGAGTATCTGATAATTCATGGTTATTTTACAAGATTCCCTTTGCAACATATTGGCAAATTATCATAAACCTGATAAAAATCTGGAATTCGTGGAAAGGAATGTTGCATTATACATGCGCATGTAGTAAATATTCTTTGAAAATCTTGAATAAAAAAATTATGAGGCGAGTTTTATTTATATATTTGTGAGTGTGATAAAAACAGATGTTTAATATTTTGATGATTGCATAATATGAACATACAGAAAATACCTTTGTCTCTCCCACATAGTGAAATACTTCACTATTAATGGGGTTTTCTTGAACAACTCTTAAGTTCAAATGTATTTGACCCCTAGCCCTCCAAGAATCCAAGATGTCTTCATATTTAGTACCTTAAATATAAGAAATAATATTAAAATAGATGATCATAAACATTTCTCAAGATTTAAATCGCAAAATTCATTATACTGATTCAAATAACAATCAATGATTTTTCCACACACATACTTGAACTGAACAGTTCAGTGACTTCTAAGTATCGATGTATTGTTGCATCATATTTGGTCATGTGACCTTGTACATAATTATCATAACAACAAAAGCACATGGTACAGTCTGATGAATGCTTACATAATTGTTCAGACTACATATTATGACAATACTCAAACTAACTAAATTATGCTTTGGAAAAAAAGATTTTTACCTACAGGATAATTGATAGTTCGTAAAATTCCAAACAAGGGTTCACATTTTAGGTCAACATGTGGATGGAAGAAACCCTCAGGAACATCCAGACCAAGGGTGTTGTTCATGAAATCATTGTAATCCATTATGGGCTGTACAGTACACACTAGCTCATCATCCATTCTCCCTCTAGCTATTTCAAGACTGATAACACTGTCACATCCGATGATGACATACAACCGATTCTCAGCAGCAACCTCATTAAATAAAGAAAAAACTGCTTCAGTAAAACCTTGACAAGGTATATCACTATGTGATGAAATGACACTACATGGTTGGAACCACATAGTATAACCGGCATTTGATAAAAATAACTGCTATAAAAATAGGACTTCTTAGTGGTGTAGACCTACCTTCAAAGGATAGTAGACCTTACAATTATCCTCACTGTCTAACATCTTGACAAAGTCTTTCAAGTGTTTGACTTTGATTTTTGGGGGGTAAGTACAGTCCATGAGTGCATTGAAGAACTTGTAGCGCCCTAGCCCTACTTTGTTTGTGATATTTGGTGGGACATACAGACATTGTTCCATGGGGCTCTTTGACAGAGCACCTTGAATATACAAATCCATAATTCAAGTGTGGATCACTGGATAAAAATCATGCAAGTACAATGCAGTGAATGAAAGTGCTAAAGAACATAGCAAGACAGAACAAAATTGATGCTAATAGATCTGCATTTTAATGAATTGAAATAAATTACCAACTTGAAAACCTAGCTTTGTTGCACATGAATTCTAAGAATGACGTATTGCCTTTATTTTTGTACTTTTGCTTAAACACAAAACTGGGTGAGTTTCAAATGTACCAAATTAAGTACACAGTGAAATGAGTTAACTGACTGCCTTTGGCAAAGAATGCATTTAATTCATTTATATATAAGGCTTAAATAATATGTTTATCTCAATAGTTATTGTCTTACTTTTGTTATCCCCAGAGTCCTTGAGTGCAGCGAGGACAAGGAACATGGCCACAATGAGGATAACCAGTGCAAGAAAAACAAGTGCTAAGAGTATCGAGATACAAATCACCCACCTGAAAATATTCACATAAGAATAATATATAAGCACAAATTCCAAAGGGAAGGGTGACTAAAAACTATAAAGAAACCCAACAAGAAAAGCAAACTGTAAGTGTAAATTTGTCATAAGAAAAGTAGACCCTATATATCCCAAAACCATGATCTAACGTGAAAAGAAACAATGTCTAACACCCCTCTCCCCCCTCCAATCGAGAACCAATATCACAATCCAGGACCAGAACACCAAGGGACATTTCATTCATACTGAAGTCATTACAATACATGCTGAAAAAAATTGATAGCCAATACTCCTAACATCAAAAATAGTTGTAATAAGAGTGTTCATTTGAATATAGATTTAGGTATGATTTGCAAAGTAGAGTGGTACTAAATGACTCACTGATACAATATAATTCATCTCAAGTCAAAGTTTTCATAATGATGTATTGTTGAATTGGTCCCATTAATAACGTCTAAGGTTAAGATATTTGTTATTGCTGTGAAACTCATCTCCAGTATGTGCAATGATTTAATACGAGGGGTGATCAATAAGTAATGGATGCTTTTTTACACAGATACTATTTATAAACCAATCCCTTTGATTTTCCTACCAGTGATACATCATTCAATTATCTATCAATTCTGAAGATTTGAAAACAAAATATATAATACATGTTGATATATCCTTATTTCCATGAAGGAGGTACAGGTACCCCGGGACCGACATTTACGTCACATATTCAGTTTTTAGCTAGTTCGGCAAATTTCAGTTAGATTTGAACTTTTTATATGCAACAAGTGTTGTGTTGTTTGAAATATTTTGTGGACTCATAACACATAAACAGAAAGTATTGTGATATCAGAGTGTTGTATGGAAGGGGTTTGCAGGTCAATTTGAGAAAGCATTGTGGAAGAAAGGGGTGGGACCTCAAAATTGAGCTCTTGGCCAATTCACCATATTAATAGACTATATTGTCCGGATCTGCTCACATGTGACTTATTTATTTCTATACTACTTATTTCTATAGAGAAAGGACGCAGGTTTATTGACATTGATGAAATAAAACAACCCGTGCAACTGCATCTTGCTACCATGTCAGAGAATGCATTCAGCCTTGTCTTACAATCTTGAGTTAAGAGGATGAGGAATTGTGTACATGTAGCACTTGATGGAACCTATTTAGAGGGCCCTGTAGAATGATTGTGGCATGATCAAAACCACATAGTGATGATATAATATTCGAAATCAACCAGAACAACAGCAATGCCAAAGCGTAGCGAATCCCATCGAACAATAATGGCTGACATTTTTACAAACGAAATATATAGCAAATATCATGAAATAACACACATAAGAAAGGACACCATTTTCAAAATGATTGCTCACTAGCCAAGTTGTCATCAGAAGAAGTAATATGCTTTTTTTTAGTATTCACATACCAAATATGCACAAAATCGCTTCACTACTTTTCGAGTAAAATACTTTAAAATGGTGGCCATTTTTCAAAATGGCCACCTTCTACCAAAAGTGTCATTAGACAGTGTGCCGTGCTTATAGTATTCACATACCAAATATGAACACAATCGCTCCACCACTTTTCGAGTTACAGTAAAATAGGTTAAAATGGCGGCCATTTTTTAAAATGGTCACCTTCTACCAAAAGTGTCATTAGACAGTGTGCCATGCTTATAGTATTCACAAACCAAATATGAACAAAATCGCTCCACTACTTTTTGAGTTATAGTAAAATATGTTAAAATGGCGGCCATTTTTCAAAATGGCTGCCTCCTACCAAAAGTGTCATTAGACAGTGAGCCATGCTTATGGTTTTCTCATACCAAATATGAACAAAATCGCTCCGCTACTTCTTGAGTTACAACAAAAATCGTAAAATAACGCGTAAAGGCCGCCATTTTTCAAGATGGCTGTGGTGTGCTTCTTTAATATCTACATTTCTAACTTTATCAATGTCCTATATCATCATTTTACATTTAAAACATAATGCTATTACAGTTTTACATACTGCAACTAAATTACTGTAAAATCAGCACTAAAATGGCCGCCATTTTTAAATGAGTGGCCATTTTGAAAATCGGCTTTCGAGCAGAACTTCTATCTCCATAGGGTATATGTGTACAAAATATGAACAAAATCGGGCCAACGGTATTTGAGTTATTGCCCGGACGGACGGATGGACAGACGGACGGACGGATGCGTTCCCTATATCCCTCCGAACTTCGTTCGATGGAATAACTATGGCATAACAAAATGGGGTAATTCATGACCATAATGGTTTGTTTTGTTCAGTCTGCATTCAACTGCATTGCATGTTTAACAAGCTAAAATAGTTTCAGAATGTTTGACGTCATGTCTGTCCCGGGGTACCTATACAACCTCCACGGAAATAAAGATATATAAAAATATATTACATGTTTTGTTTTCAAATCTTCAGAGTTGATAGATAATTGAATGATGTATCACTGGTAAGAAAATCGAAGAGATTGGTCTATTAAAAGCATTGGTGTAAAAAAGCATCCATTACTTATTGATCTCCCCTCGTATATGTACGTCCAGGGGAGGAATGTGAGAGTCTACAGAAATAGAAAATGCAACATCAAAAATAAAACAGGTAATAATAAATGAATATATATGTTTCAATAATAGGCCTTTTTCTCAATGCAAAAACACCATGGTTTGTTTTTCTGAATGATGATATATTGTTTAACCCATCACTTTTGAGACTATAAAAATATAATAAAGTAAAGACTTACCAATTCCTTTTTTGTGATATTTTCTCATCAACGTTAATGGTGTTACTGCTTCCTGTAATGTTCCTCCTGTCATCTAATTTGTATGACTCCATTTCTCCTCGAAAGTATTATTTCATAGCAAAGTAACTTATTAAATAAGATAGTTCTATCAGTGTAAGTACTTATGAAGCTAAACAAAGTTAAAATGTTGAATTTTAATAGTTATTTTTCTATTCATTTGTGCAAAAAGCTAATATCATAAACATGTCACAACAGTTAGGAACCTGAGTTAGGCTATAATTAAATAGGAAAGGGGCTTGAGGTAGGTCAGATTTTAGTAGCATAAAATAGGTTTTCAACCTGCAGCTATAAAATGCATTTATATTTCTGCATTGGAATTAAGCCCAATGTAGAGTTAAGGCTAACTATTATAAGAAACAACCAATGATAAAATGTCTAAGACTAACATAATAACATCAACAGATCTATCAGATTGGGTTAGATAATTCTGGATTACTGATTTCTTGGTAATTACAGGGTGGTCCAAAAAAAATTGGAACATTTGTTAATTGAACGCAAAACCTTTATTTTTTCTCTAAAATGCACCAAAATTTTACTGAGTATTGTTCAGTCATTTATTTATCTGATGTAAAGTTTATAGGTGAAAACAACAAAGTTTATGGATTAAACTAGACAATGTTTGATATGACCCCCCTTCTCCTGAATTACAAGTTCAAGCCTGGGACTCCGTTTTGAAATGATTAATTCAGTTTGCTGTTTTATTTGTTTTTGTCCAAGCAATCTTGATTAAAAAATTCAGCTTGAGCAAACTGGCAAACTTCTTATATATTTGCCTTGGCAGATCAAATCTAGTTACATATTCAACATTTGTTTACCAAAATGTATGGGTATCAAGCATATTTTGATGGCTATTAATGGGTGTATTACTGATTGAATATTCTCTACAAGGACCAGGGCAGTCCGTTTTGACTGGTAAATGAAGCCCCATCCCCTTTCTTGTCTAATAATAATAATGTACATTGAATATATCAAAATATGTATATCAATACCATAAAGGAGTCTCCCAGAACACAAATGATATATTATATGTGCTTAGAGTTGGTCTCTAATAAAGCCTTCTAAATAACTGGTCAGTTGCCTTTTTACTGAAAATGGAAACAATGATTTTGCCAGTTTAGTGGCTGTATGGGTTATGCAATCGCTCACCTCTGACATGTTCTTTCTTTCCTACTCTTAAATAAAAATAATGATTTGGGGTATTCTTAAGTTGACAATTACACAATAGTTTTTTTGTAAATCAGAGATGTAAATACCACTTGTCAAGTGAATATGATTTTATAAAATGTGTATAGCAATCATCATGTTCATTAGAGCTTTGAAATAAAGTATACTTGAAAAAGTAGCGGCAAAATTGACAAGTGTATATTTAAGAAAAGGGGGTCCTATGAAACATTGACTAGTTAAATGCATTAACTTTGTGGTTTTCAACTATAAACTTTACATTAGATAAATAAGTGACTGAACTATGCTCAGTAAAATTTTGGTGCATTTTAGAGAAAAAATAAAGGTTTTCCGTTCAATTACCAAATGTTCCAATTTTTTTTGGACCACCCTGTACATCATAGATGACACTCGGATTGCAAAATCTGAATATTCTCTCGTATTATGACTGGTGTGAGGTTGTGCACCTGGACCTAAAGTATTTGTAATATTTACAGTTGTAACATAATTTGCATTTTTTAAATACTGTTCTGACTGGTCTCCATACATGTATCTAAAAATACAGGATGTTCAGGAAATAAAGACATTAATGTCATACCTTTTTATTTGTTCATGGGTTTTAATGAATTTTTGAAGTTTCAACTTCAAGGAATTCGTTTGGTCAATTCTGTGGTTGTCACAGCAATATAGTAAAACTAAGGCAGGGCAGGTGGAATAACTGCAGGTACGTTTCTGTGTAATACTTAGGATGGTAAACCAATTTTGACTTTGACAAACTTTACTGGTGCATAACAACATTCTTCTATTGTTTTGTTTTGAGATGTAAAAACAATTGCTTTTTAATTGATATTCAATGGGATTTTCCAGGAATTTTTGCTACTTGTCATAGCTAATACTAATCAGTCACAATCCATATTTTCAAATTTCAAATGGCGCCTTCACAAAACAGGATCAAAAAGTAAAGCAACTCAAGCATCCACCTTATTCACCTAACCATAGCATCAAATGATTTCTAATTGTATTCTTGTATTGTATTCTTCTTGTATGCTGAATTGAAACGGGACTTAAAATGACATGCATTTGGGAATTCTGATGCCATGAGTTCAGATGTGTTAAACTGTTCAGAACATGAGTCAGGATGGATTCAGTAGAGTACTTGAAGAATGGAGGAGGCACAGTGTTTGTGTTTGAAATTGAGGAAATTATGTAGAATAAATTGATAAATTGGCAAAGCAGTTCAGGCTCATAGTTATGAAGATGTTTAAGTATCCAATTTAAGTTAAGAACAAGGTACAATCTCTTTTTAAAATATTTGAAATATGCAAAATAGTGCTGTTATTCCACCTGCCCCGCCTTTGCGCTACTCGCTTTACTATGACAAACACAGAATTGACCAATGAAATCCCTTAAATCTGAAACTTCAAAAATAAATTCAAATATGTTGAAACTATAACCCCTGAAAATGTCATTGAAATCCATGAACAAATGAAAAAGTTATGACATTATTGTCTTTATTTCCTGAACACCCTGTACCTAGAAAATTACCTAAAATAAATTATTTTCTGGTGAACAACATATTGATGTCGCAACATATTGATGCAACAAAAATTGAAAAAAACAGGGCTGGAAGGAGTTGAAAATCAGGACAACATTTCAGAAAAATCATGTGGGTGGGTTGTTTGCATCTCCCCTGTCTCAAGGTCGAAATTATTTTATCATCTCTATGATTGCTTTTCCTGGAGATAATGCATTGTCCTAACATATGCACCTGTTTAAATCCTCAGAAAATAGCTAAAATCCAATATATGGCTGTCTGAAATCTGTTGCGATACTTTCAGTCCTCCTTTTCATTCTTGGAAATTTTTGTCTAACCCTGCTGTTTCATATTACCTTGAATATCATCATTATCCATACGAACACACTGTATACAAAATCCTCAATAAATTGCAAAAAGATGTAAGTTGCAAATATATGTAAGTTGCAAATAGATGTAAGTTGCAAATAGATGTATTTAACTTGTAAATAAATGGAACTGCTTCAATTTAGCATTACTTGACTAGCTGTGTTCGTCTTTATTGATCACCAAACTGATCATTTTACACCTACAGACAGTACAGACTAATAGAAATCAAAATGAAATTGATAATAATAAAACAGTATCAAATAGTATGATTGGGGTTATTCCTCTCTTACTTGAAACTTATATCATAAATGCCAATGAGCCAATCATAGGCATAAGTCATAGATCAAATTCCACACCAAAGGGAAGTATATTCTGTTACAAAATTAAATTGAATATTTCTCTTAAGATCAAACATAGTTAAAAAAATAATCATTTCATTAAATGTCATATTCAAGCATGCCTATCATCCAAAATAATTAATGAGACACAAAACAAATATTCCATGTCTTCATCTGTACATATATCTGTTCCATTGCTGCATAAATTGTGCTTAATTCAATCCTTCCATTAGCACTTATTAAGGAAACTTCAAACCATATCAGTAAAACCTGTTTTAAGTCATGAAATATTCACAATTTGTAGTAATGGGAAACAATAGGTAAATATTACAAGCACTTAGCTGATTTGTACAACATCAATTACATAGAATTAAATATATGTTGACTGTTAAGGGGAGAGTTCAAAATCAAAATAAAACATAAGGCAAAGTTTGAGCATTATCATCTTCAAACACCTAAATGTGTGATGAATTTCACGAATGAATAGTCATGAATAGATCCTGCAAAGATTAACAAATCAAAATTGTTTAACCACCATTACACTACAGTACAACCACCATTGTTTAACCTCCATTACACTACAGTACAACCACCATTGTTTAACCTCCATTACACTACAGTACAACCACCATTGTTTAACCACCATTACACTACAGTACAACCACCATTGTTTAATCACCATTACACTACAGTACAACCACCATTGTTTAACCTCCATTACACTACAGTACAACCACCATTGTTTAACCACCATTACACTACAGTACAACCGCCATTGTTTAACCTCCATTACACAACAGTACAACCACCATTGTTTAACCTCCATTACACTACAATACAACCACCATTGTTTAACCACCATTACACTACAGTACAACCACCATTGTTTAACCTCCATTACACTACAGTACAACCATCATTGTTTAACCACCATTACACTACAGTACAACCACCATTGTTTAACCACCATTACACTACAGTACAACCATCATTGTTTAACCACCATTACACTACAGTACAACCACCATTGTTTAACCACCATTACACTACAGTACAACCACCATTGTTTAACCTCCATTACACTACAGTACAACCATCATTGTTTAACCACCATTACACTACAGTACAACCACCATTGTTTAACCTCCATTACACTACAGTACAACCACCATTGTTTAACCACCATTACACTACAGTACAACCATCATTGTTTAACCACCATTACACTACAGTACAACCACCATTGTTTAACCACCATTACACTACAGTACAACCACCATTGTTTAACCTCCATTACACTACAGTACAACCACCATTGTTTAACCTCCATTACACTACAGTACAACCACCATTGTTTAACCACCATTACACTACAGTACAACCACCATTGTTTAACCTCCATTACACTACAGTACAACCACCATTGTTTAACCTCCATTACACTTCAGTACAACCACCATTGTTTAACCTCCATTACACTACAGTACAACCACCATTGTTTAACCACCATTACACTACAGTACAACCACCCTTGTTTAACCACCATTACACTACTATACAACCATCATTGTTTAACCACCATTACACTACAGTACAACCACCCTTGTTTAACCACCATTACACTACTATACAACCATCATTGTTTAACCACCATTACACTACAGTACAACCACCATTGTTTAACCACCATTACACTACAGTACAACCACCATTGTTTAACCACCATTACACTACAGTACAACCACCATTGTTTAACCTCCATTACACTACAGTACAACCACCATTGTTTAACCACCATTACACTACTATACAACCATCATTGTTTAACCACCATTACACTACAGTACAACCACCATTGTTTAACCACCATTACACTACAGTACAACCACCATTGTTTAGCCATCATTACACTACTATACAACCATCATTGTTTAACCACCATTACACTACAGTACAACCACCATTGTTTAACCACCATTACACTACAGTACAACCACCATTGTTTAACCACCATTACACTACAGTACAACCACCCTTGTTTAACCACCATTACACTACTATACAACCATCATTGTTTAACCACCATTACACTACAGTACAACCACCATTGTTTAACCACCATTACACTACAGTACAACCACCATTGTTTAACCACCATTACACCACAGTACAACCACCATTGTTTAACCACCATTACAACCACCATTGTTTAACCACCATTACACTTCAGTACAACCACCATTGTTTAACCTCCATTACACTACAGTACAACCACCATTGTTTAACCACCATTACACTACAGTACAACCATCATTGTTAAACCTCCATTACACTACTATACAACCATCATTGTTTAACCACCATTACACTACAGTACAACCGCCATTGTTTAACCTCCATTACACTACAATACAACCACCATTGTTTAACCACCATTACACTACAGTACAACCGCCATTGTTTAACCTCCATTACACTACAGTACAACCATCATTGTTTAACCTCCATTACACTACAGTACAACCACCATTGTTTAACCACCATTACACTACAGTACAACCACCATTGTTAAACCTCCATTACACTACTATACAACCATCATTGTTTAACCACCATTACACTACAGTACAACCGCCATTGTTTAACCTCCATTACACAACAGTACAACCACCATTGTTTAACCTCCATTACACTACAGTACAACCACCATTGTTTAACCACCATTACACTACAGTACAACCACCATTGTTTAACCACCATTACACTACAGTACAACCACCATTGTTTAACCACCATTACACTACAGTACAACCACCATTGTTTAACCACCATTACACTACAGTACAACCACCATTGTTTAACCACCATTACAATACAGTACAACCACTATTGTTTAACCACCATTACACTACAGTACAACCACCATTGTTTAACCACCATTACACTACAGTACAACCGCCATTGTTTAACCTCCATTACACTACAGTACAACCACCATTGTTTAACCTCCATTACACTACAATACAACCACCATTGTTTAACCACCATTACACTACAGTACAACCATCATAGTTTGACCACCATTACACTACAGTACAACCACCATTGTTTAACCACCATTACACTACAGTACAACCACCATTGTTTAACCACCATTACACTACAGTACAACCACCATTGTTTAACCACCATTACACTACAGTACAACCACCATTGTTTAACCACCATTACACTACAGTACAACCACCATTGTTAAACCACCATTACACTACAGTACAACCACCATTGTTTAACCACCATTACACTACAGTACAACCATCATTGTTTAACCACCATTACACTACAGTACAACCACCATTGTTTGACCACCATTTACTTCAGATTTATCTCATTTTGTTTTTTTGAGCATGTCCCAAAAGCAAATCATCATAATATACAATTCCAAGTTTAAGCTGATCTGTATTTCACATTGGCAATTGATGTTAAAGCCCACATATGCTTGATAAATATGTAATAATGTAAAATGGATAAATAAGAAATCAAAAGGAGAGTTTAACAACTTAACACATTCATCGAACATTGGATTTATTATGGCTAATTCAACATTTTATGATGCAGAATTTTATAGATCACTGAGGATTAAAGGATTTGGTCAAATAATTATATCACCTTTCGGATTCTTTATAAACTTATTGTGTGTAATTGTGCTAGTAAAACACAAGAGATTTCACATTATTCCAAATTTGTTTGTATTTCTGATGTGCTTAAATGACTTCATTATCTACATAGTGCTGCTACCAGTAGAAGCACTTCACATACTTTTAGGAGGAGGAGTAATCGTGTTTTGCGCACCATGGAACTACACAATACTCTTACTTACAGGAACAAACTTGATGATTTATGCATGTATTGCCATCAATAGGTACTTTCTGATAGTTTGGAATAAACTTTACCGTAAAGTTTTCACTAACATTGGATGTGTGGTAATGATCCTTATATCCTTCCTTGTTCCCGGAATTACTCTACTTCAACCGATTCTAGGCTTTGGTCCATTATATGACTTTCATGATCCACTAGGATGGGAGTGTGGTTTTGTAATACTAGATGGGACATATTCTGGATTCTGGGAACTTTCGTTGATATTATCATTTGCAATTCCTTTATTGATTATGATGTTCTGCTATATCAGCATCTACTGGGTGCTCAGAAAGCAACGGAGGGTAATAGAAAATCACCAAGCCTCTGATTACATTGACAGATCTAAACGCGTTGATGTTCATTTCACCAAAGTGATGGCCATGCTGTTTGTGATATACTGCGCTACCTATGGGCCATACATGATAGTGTCAAACATTGGACTCAGACATGTACATTACCTGTACCAGGGGACATTGTTCCTAACAAAATGGAATGGTCTACTGAACAGTACTGTATATATCCTCATGAACAGGCAAGTAAAGGTTGCAATCTTGGCATTGTTTGGTCAAAAACCAGCAGATAACCTTGAAAGGAGCAATGAGAGAAGGTCCCCAGGTGTACAAACAAAAATGGAAAACATGTCATCTTATACAGGACAACAGACATGATTGACATGACATATATTGAAAACATGTAAGAAGTGCATAACACCAATGCAGGATTTGAGTGATGATTGGTATTATTTTATAATTATTTGCAAAACTTTTCACGAAAAATTGCTGCCATTTTTGAAGCAGTGGCCATCTTGAAAAATCGTTTTTTGGGTAAAACTATTTCCCAATATACATCTCTCCACAAATATAAAGAAAATCCATCCACTAGTATTTGAGTTATCTTATGGACAGACGGATGGATGGGTGGACTGACTGATGGACAGACTGACTGATTGATAGATGGAGGGTTTCACTATATCCCTACTGAACACTCAGGATAATGAAGGATTAACTGCTGAATATTCAATTCCATTGATTGCTCTTGCAGAATTACATTTGAACGAAAGTATACCAGTTGGTACTTATATTATATTGCAATAATAATATGCCTTTAGACATTTATAGCAATATGTATTCTACATCTTGATGTTTAGCAGGTGGCCAAACTCAATATTCATGGTATTCATACATTTTAAGAGAAATTTATAATAGAATGATGTGTATCTTTCCCATTATTAAGAAAAAATATGCTGGTACCCAGTTAACAACCTAAGTTAACTGACAAATATTAAGCTCACAAAAGTCAACACATTCACCATTACACATACATGCATTGAAATTGAACTGCATAAGTGCAGGAAAAATATTAATTCTTGTCAACAAATAATTGCCATTTTGCATTTTCAGGAAAATAATATTCTGATTTTACACATGATAGTTGATTAAACCTAACACATACAAAAGCAAACATATATAATGTGTACATACATGTACATACATGTATACATTCATCATACACTCCAATCTTTCTGTTTATCCCAGTAAAACACACAATTCAAAGAAACATATGTATTTACCTGTGAAGATATTTGACTTGCAGAGAAAATTCAATGAAGCCACATGACACTAGTTTCAAATACAGCTCTCTGTTGTTTCCCATAATGCTTTGCAGATGCAGCAGGCTATTGTAAAGACCTTGAAAAATCTTGACATTTCTAACCAATTTCAAGTTCATCTGGAATCACAAATCCAAAATTTTGTTTATACCATGTACCTCTAGATACGTACATTTACTGTATTTTTGAATTCTCAAATTTTACATTGTAAAATTACTTGAATACATTTTTATTTTGTATATTCATCTAATGTCTTAGTTATATAAAGTTTTTTATCCCAAAAATACCAGAGGCACAGTAATGCCAAACAACCAATGAAACAACAAAAACATAACTTCCTATTACCATAGTAACTGGGATGCAAACTTCATCACAGATTTGAAGAACTTCAATGCAAAAATTTTGCTGACTCATGGTTCCATCTTTCCCACCATTATTCATCAATTCAGTAGAGGAACCAAGAATGCCACCATCAATCTGAACTTCCAATACTTTTTCAATCGATGATATCAAACCAAACAGACGATCTTCAGATTTGGTCGACGTTCCGTTTTGTTTTTCTGCAATCTTTTTACGAAGCTTTACAGATTCATGGTGAAACCGAGTTGACGTAGTTGAGAGTTGGGGATTCTGGGATACCACCATAGCCAGATGATGCAACAGCATTAGTAAGCTCTCATATGGAACATGTGTTGTCAGATACTCTTTCCTTGAAAACAGAGACAATGTGAATCAGTCAATTGGGTTACAATAAAGTATTATTATACAACAAACAATTTAATCAAATGAGACTTCAGGTGAAACATTACTGGAAAACTCACTTTCTATGTACAATGGGCAATCTTTGCCAGATTTACTTTTTGGGTCTGTTTATTTTAAATTTATATGCGCATATATTAGTCATTCTAAATTAGACCTTCATATTCGGATAGCACTGATTATAAAAATCACTAGCCTACCAATTGTTCATTCAGAGTTTCAGATACCAAATCATACAAAGTAAAGCAAATATACTTGCATGCCCTCTGCATGTTTAATAACAAACTAATTATCATCTTTGGAATGGAAATGTGCTACCACCAAATACAACAAAGAAGAATCAGGAATTGATGAGGGATGGAATGCAAAAGGGCAAAAACCAAACTGAACCCCTAATCTCTTTATAAGGTAACTGCATATTAAGAGCATCATAAACTTACTTGCATATATTATGGAATGCCTCCACACTGGTCATGAACACATGGTGACTGATGCATTGAAGACCCTGACAGATGATACCAAGACATTGCTTTAGAACGCTGACATTGCTGAACAAACGTACCGTGTTAGGCTGCCTAGAAATAAATTAGAACACCAAAAGTAAAACCTGTAATCAGGGTGGGCCAAACAAGATTTAACTCATTCTGAGCTGGCAAGAATATAAAAATGGTAACATTTTTGGCCCACCCTGTATATTCCAAAACAATGCAAAATCAAAAAGGCATTAACATGTCAACATGTCAGCACCACCTAGAAAATTTGAAGCAAGTTGAAAAATACCTTTTTGACCTTTTTTTTACCTTGAGAAGGTCATTGAAGGTCAAAGCTCAAATCTATAGTCAGATTTGAACTTCTGGGAACTCATAGATGATTTTGAAGAAAACATTTACATCAATTTGAAGCAAGCTGAAAAAAGACCTTTTGACCTCTTTTAATCTAAAGACCTTTTTGACATTTTTTAACTTGAGAAGGTCATTGAAGGTCAAATCTCAAATCTTAAGGCAGATTTGAATATCTGGGAAGTTGTAGGTAATCTAGAAAAAAAATTTGGTCAATCTAAAGCAAGCTGAAAAATATTTTTTTGACCTTTTTTACCTTGAGAAGGTCATTTAAGTTCAAATCTCAAATCTATAGTTAGATTTGAACTTCTGAGAACTTGTAGATGATTAGTTAGATGATTAGATAATTAGTTAAACTTTTTCATTTTTTCTGTTTAAGCTGTACACTTTGCCCAAATGTGGGACACAAGTATAATAAAGCTCATAATAATAATATAACTGATTTAAAAAATAAAAATAAAATCAATTTGAAGCAAGTTGAAAAGATACCTTTTTGACCTCTTTTTAACCTTTTTGACATTCACAAGGTCACAAGGTCATTGAAGGTCTAATCTTAAATCAGCTTTGAACTTCTGAAAACTTATAGATGATTGTGAAAAAGTCAGTCAAAAAAGTATTTGTTAAGATATTGGAAGTAAAGAACCAATGCAACCACCAACCAACGTCACAGAAAAACGGACACCATAACAATATATCACCACTTTTTAGTGGTGACATGATAAAACAGAAATTTTACTCATAAAATCAGGTACACAATATCAATCTGATAAATAAAAAAAATTAAAAAGAATGATTCAATTATCTGGCAGAGTTGGTCAGGATACACTATTAGCCACAAACTTAAGAATTTTACTAAATGGCTGTGAAATATGTAGATATGAGAAAAAATCTAATTGGGTTTACATGTACCTCATAAAGATCATAACAAACAAAAATCAATTAAACCAGGTGATATAGAAGGGGTTTCAGTGGAATTACTGGTAAGAGGGGAAATTAATGAGGCTGAAAATAGCTCTTGGTTAGAGTGTATATATGGTACTGGGGAGGCATTTGGTGCAGGGGAAATCCTGTCTAGTTATATAATATTGGATATATGTTAAAAACTGCCTTTTCTACGAAATGATATATGCAACAACTGTTTCATCAAATTGTGATGGAGTCTCTACGACTACTATCATAGCAACAATGAATATGCCATCCAAACCTCACTGTTATATCAATATATACCAGCGTATCAATAGGGAAAGTACAATAAGTACACTCTTAAATGATGGTGAAAAGTAGCATGGATCCAACTGCTGTTTATAAATAGATGTACCATTACATAAATAGAGGGTTCATTATACTTTGTGGCATCAGTGGAGAGCTATACCAGAGTATATGTACGGAAAATTAGGTAAAAAGTTTAGTGTTTTCAACAGCAATATAAGTGTTGATCAGTTGAAAGGCATTGATCATTTAAGTATTTTCTATAAAAAATTATTATGTACATGGCTTAACAAAAGTAATTATGCAGATGAATCTATAATATGAAACAACAGAAATATTGTATTGAGCAGACATCCCTTGTACTTTCACAAGTGGATAGAAAAAGGGTTAATCTATATATCAGATGTCGTTGTAAATGAACATTTAAAACCATATGAGGTTATTGCTGAATTAATAGGAAAAAATGCTGAAACTGTAATGCAATATAACATTTTAAGAGCTTGTTTAAATCAAGAGAGAATTCATATGTATGGTAGTATAAAGCCCAGCAAAACACTGGTATTTCGAGGGATAGAAATTCAAAAATTGACATCACAGAAAACCAGGAATAAGCTTGTCAAAGAAAGGCAGTGTGATGTACAATTTAAGGGTTTAAGTATTGGTTCAGATATTTGGAATCAGCTTTTTAAATGCACGTCAGACACTGGTCTTTTAAGTATCCAATAGAAAATCTTCCATTGTATATATCCACATGGCGGTTTATTAAAAAGATATAACATAGAACAATCTGATTTATGTAAACTATGTAATGAAATTGATAATATTGAACATTTTTTTATACATAGTAATGCTATAAAAAATATTTGGAAAGATGTAGATTTGAATGAAAATGAGAAAATAGGAATAGGAATATTAGATAAAAAATTACTATATAAGACACTTGTAATAAAGAAAACTATACATGACTTTAAGTTTTCAAATGAAAGAAAAAATATATCTGTAATGTTTGAATATGAAAAATATGTAAGAAACATTGATGATTGAGAAAATGTGTTTAAACATATTTTTTATGAAATAGCCTATTGTATTTTGAAATGTTGAGTTGTATGTGAATAAATTTAAATTTAAATTTAAAAAAAAAAAAAAAACTTTGTGGCATCATTTTGCAAATTGATCAAAGATAATGGATGTAAAGTGTTTTTTTAAATAGGCAGTACATTCACATAACTTTAAGTGTCATTAGCAGTGTATAATCATTGAACCACAATGGTATCACTTTTGTTCTTTGCATAATCAATTTGGAACATTGATAGATGCATATCATGTAACTGTAGGACCACTTTCACAGATACCAAGATAATGTTTAATGGTTTTTCATTGTAGTCTTATTCTACGTCAAAGCATGCAATGAAATTACCATATTTGGGAAGTTGTATTCGTGAATTAAATATTTGACAAAGCACAGCATCATTTTTTCTATATATGGTGAACTTTTGAAAACTTCCATATATGTTTTATACTCATGTAAGTACATGTTCTTATTTTATCAAAACACAAAAAGCAAGTCAAATGCCATGACATATGCTAGTTTCCTGTATGTGACAGTGATGTACGTCCCATTGAAATGCATGAAGCATATAGTGCAAGTGTGTTGTACAACATATGCAAGTGTGTTGTACAACATATGCAAGTGTGTTGTACAACATATGCAAGTGTGTTGTACAACATATGCAAGTGTGTTGTACAACATATGCAAGTGTGTAGTACAACATATGCAAGTATGTTGTACAACATATGCAAGTGTGTTGTACAACATATGCAAGTGTGTTGTACAACATATGCAAGTGTGTAGTACAACATATGCAAGTGTGTTGTACAACATATGCAAGTATGTTGTACAACATATGCAAGTGTGTAGTACAACATATGCAAGTGTGTTGTACAACATATGCAAGTGTGTTGTACAACATATGCAAGTGTGTTGTACAACATATGCAAGTGTGTAGTACAACATATGCAAGTGTGTTGTACAACATATGCAAGTGTGTAGTACAACATATGCAAGTGTGTTGTACAACATATGCAAGTGTGTTGTACAACATATGCAAGTGTGTTGTACAACATATGCAAGTGTGTAGTACAACATATGCAAGTGTGTTGTACAACATATGCAAGTGTGTTGTACAACATATGCAAGTGTGTTGTACAACATATGCAAGTGTGTAGTACAACATATGCAAGTATGTTGTACAACATATGCAAGTGTGTTGTACAACATATGCAAGTGTGTTGTACAACATATGCAGTATGTTGTACAACATATGCAAGTGTGTTGTACAACATATGCAAGTGTGTAGTACAACATATGCAAGTATGTTGTACAACATATGCAAGTGTGTTGTACAACATATGCAGTATGTTGTACAACATATGCAAGTGTGTTGTACAACATATGCAAGTATGTTGTACAACATATGCAAGTGCATTGTACAACATATGCAAGTGTGTTGTACAACATATGCAAGTGTGTTGTACAACATATGCAAGTGTGTTGTACAACATATGCAAGTATGTTGTACAACATATGCAAGTGTGCTGTACAACATATGCAAGTGTGTTGTACAACATATGCATTTTATGCACTTGTTGAATTGGCCACCAATATATAAGGGGTCACAACAATAAAATAAAAATAAAAAGATGAGTGCACTGTTTTGACATCAATCATGTATGTCATTTATTTAAATATCCAAGCACACTGGCAATTAAAAAGTATTATTATGTATAGTCTGTATAATTCATTGAAACTCTATGGATGAAGTATTTCACAAAATTGCAGGATTATTCATTGATCTACATGTGGAAGTATTTGACAAATGGCAGCATCATCTATTCTACATTTGGAAAACAATTTAAAGAATGACTTTCTCACAGTTTTATCCAATATGAAATATAATAGAGGGCAGAATATTACATTTAAACCATCAAACACAAATGCACACAACCAGATGTAAATCAGAGATTCATTTTGCTGAAGATTAGAAGTTGTGACATTACTTAAGGATAATATCATAGAAGGCAATGAACATACTTTGTAAAGAACAACTAGCATTAATCCTCTTTTAACTGTCTTTATATGTATCTGGATAGCCACATTAGAATGACCAATAGTGCCAGGTTTTGGATTTTTTCCAACATGTCCCAACTGATTGGGTGTGGTTTGAGTAACTTTATGATTGTCATTTTGGTATGCTATTGTAGTCAGATCATCAATGTTATGAAAATAATCCTTTGTAGAAGTTGATGACCTTGATTGAACTGTCATTTTGGATGCATCCATATCCTCAACACTATACTTAGACACTCTGGAATGCTTACGATCTGTTATCATTCTTTTTTGTTCTGTTCTTGTCCCCTGTTCATGCACATTAGCTATAGCACCTGACAATTCCAATGTACTATTGTTAGTACTTATGCTACTACAGATACTTGGCCTGACTTGATTTCCATACCCTGCTTTACTCGTTGATTTCTTCAATGTCCATATAAGTAGCGAATATGTACATAAGAGAGCAAAAAGGCTAAATATGAAGAGCAAGTCAAAAGCTTGGACATGTGCCTGATTGCTACTCACAATGCTGCATTCACAGATGTTCCCATTGGAGTGCATGAGACACAATATATTACACAATGTGTACAAACTAGTTGAGTTGGTCACCAATGATATCACAATAATCAAACATACACACATCCACGTTGTGCCATAAAGGCACAAAATTGTGCGGGTTTTTCTCTTCTCAAGATTATACACTTTCCTATAGTGGTATACCCCAACTGCTACTAATGTTAAACAATATGAAGCATTGTATAACACTGAAAATGATCCTATCAGATGGCACAATGAAACACTCATTCCTGTCATTCCTCCTATGATCGCATACCCTACAATTATAGCTCCTATGTATACCAGGTTACTTGCGCAGAGGTTGATGAGAAAGATATTTGGAATATTGCGTAAATGTCCACTTGATATGATAGTCAAGAGGAACAAAAAGTTCAGAACAAGTCCTATAATTAATATGATGGCTCCAAGAATTTGCAGAATTATGATGAATTCTGAGAAAACATTTGTAGATTCCACTGAACTTCCGTTATAAGTTGTGAGACAGTTTGAGATATTTAAGGCCATGTTTTAGGGCAAAGTCAACTTATTTTACCATCAAAGACATAATCAGATATTTTCAGGCATATAGTTGATCACTCAATTTGATTATTTCAGAAAATGTCCAGTGTATGCATCAGTGGTTTTTCATGGTTCATGGGTTTGATGGTTCACTGTAACTATAAACTGACCATGAAAGTGACAGTCAAAATAGGGAGCACATGTAATATGCATGTACATGTAGTGTATATTTATCCTCCTTTGGTATGGCTCTAATATTGATTTCATTATGTTCTTATATAGTTCTTTAATGTTCAACATAACATTTGTGAAAGCTTCTGTCAATATTCCTTTAATAATGTAAAATGAGCAATTTTGTATTTTTCAGTGTATTCTCCGTACAGCCGAAATTTCAACTTCGGCACTGAGTATTTCAAAATTTCCTTTCTAATGTTGCATCTGATAGTTTTGTTTAGCTTCTCCTAAAGTACATGCTGTGTCAAAGTACTTTTAACGCCAGTTCATAATAATTCTGTATGTACTTTAAAATATGATCCTCATAATATTTAAAGTAGCTCTTTAAAATGGCAATGAGCTACAGTATCAATAATCCCCATTCACTTCTGTGAGAGTCTGCTTCAAATGATCTAATGGCGTCTCAACATATCAATCAATTATCTGTTCAATCTTTTCATTTCCAAGTAAAGGAAGAACTGATATTTAAAAGATGGAAAAGTATTAATTTCCTTCTGATCTATTAATCTTATCAAACGTGATCTGACTCCTAATACTTTTACAATGCTTATAAAGTTAAACAGTCAATTAACATCTAAATGTCTATTTCCAAACTTGTGATGCTCTTCTTAGTACAAATCCCCAATCATTATGAATAATTCAGGTCCATTTGAAATGTTATAGTATTTGGTAGCATGCAAATAACTAAGTTATCCATGCTACTGTTATTGTCTTATCTCTGATCTGACATTTATTGTTTATCAAATAATATATTTTCTGAACATTTTAATGCCAATCTCGAGAAATATTTCAAACTGTCTCTACTTTAATGTCATTCAAACCGTGTTTAATGTTTTTCATAAAATCCTTTTTGTAATTGCAGAATGGTTTTTCCTTTATCTCTAGATAAATTATATACTGTGATGACTGTTCTTATTTCCAGTGTTATATACTATAATAACACACATCTTAAATTCAACATATAATATCAAAATACTTTACTTGAATTTAAATGCACATAGAAATATATAATCCTAAACAAGTTAAATACACAATGTAATATAATAGCACCAGAGATTAATAACTGTGGCAAGAATGAATATAATTTTAATCTGGTCTGAGACTAAATCTTTGGCTAAAATTTTAGACCTTTAAGTATATAGTTACCCATTCTCAAAATGACAATTTAGTAAAATTCAAATGCTTATTCTTGATTATTTCACATTAAAATTTTCATGAAAGATGATTTTCAGTGAAGTTTATGTCTTTATTTTAATCCTTGGTGTTCTAATTTCCATAAACTATATTAAACTGTTTTAACTAGATATGTAAATGCCAAAGGGATTGGCAATCCATATACATGTAAATTCTATTGAGCGTAGATTGCCAACTAACTTTGATTGAGGCTAATACTTGAGTAAAGTATCGCCACAAAGAGCCTCTGATATAAGTTGAGTAAGATGGATACCATTTGTCCCCAGGCTGACCTATGATTCAGCTTATTCTATATACCAAAATTACATATACCTTTCACAGGAATATAGTTTTGAACAAAACTTTGCAAAAATAATCTGCTTTATCTTTGTTCTCAATCTTAAGTTAGTGTAACTGCAAGTAACTCTCAAAAACGTAGTGTTTGCAATGCCCACATGCTTCTAGTGTTGTCATGATGTCACATCAATGCATCAGCAATTTTCAGGAGTAAACATCGATACACATCGCAATGTACATCGAGAAAAAGTCTGAGAATAGTGCACTGAAAAACTGAACGCTAATGCACTAAAATACCGAACGCAACAAATAATTAATAGTACTCTGGTACATCCGGGTACACTGTACTTCCGGTAACAGTGAAGTGAAAGTAAAGTAAAATTGTTGAGATCAATGGTTCATTTCGACTAGCTAAAACAGTTTTAAAGCGAAAGTACAAGACATGAGAAAGGTAAGACGTTTGTGTCAAAATGATATAAGAAAGGGTAATTTTAACAAATTAAATTTTTTTAGAACATCGCCAGAATCAGCTTTGGCGATGTATATCGCGATGTATCGTTTAATCGCGCCAACACTACTTACTTCAAAGCTGAAGAGGTCACGGGTGCCATTAATGACAGATTGATCACCAGAAAATGATGGGAAGCAAATGGGAAGATAAAATCATAGATATGAGTCTATATTATATATGTTTATATACAAAATGTGGATTATCATACAAAATGCAATAATTTTTAAAACAATTTATACAAAAATAGTCAAGATATACACAAATCATTTACATCCATTATAGCAATAAAAACACTTGATGTTGCCATGAGCATTCTCTAGTTAAAAGCCAAAAAGCCCATAATGTTGTCTCTTCTTCCAACACTGTGTAAACAGAATTACTGAAATAATGATTTTTGATAAACATAGTGTATTTAGGTTTTTTGAGAGCAATGTTTGCACTTCTCTGGAGTAGTAAGTTCCGATTATATATCTGGGTTATATACTTGTATATGCTTGTTATACATTTGTTACAGTATAACAAATGTCATTTGTTTCCTTTGGATGCCATTTTAGTCAATGCATTTCTTACATGATCTACAATTCTTGTCAAACAATCATTATTATGATTATCATATAATGTGTATATGTTATCTACTTAATGTATCAATATTATCAAACAAATGTCTGGTTCTCTGTAAAGTTTAAATGGAAAACTTTGGAAGTCACTTTCGTTTTACAGTTGTCACTGACACCCTGGTTTGCCCCTTATCAGATGCTGAAATAATGTGTCCCAGTTTAGATACGTCCAAGCGGCGAGGTTGATATCTAATTTTTTCAAGAGATTTGGCAAGAGTGTCAAAGTCTGCAGTAGAAGTCATTGGGCTCCAGTTTTGAAGTATTTGGTTTATATCGGCTCTTGATTTCATGATTTCAATGGGGTGTCCATATTTCTGTAGAGTGGTTACGTAAAGTAATGTCGTCTCAGTAATGCCCTTTTGTTGCTCTAAATGGCTTCTTTGGGATTCAATTTGCTTTATGGTTTTATCTTGTAAATCTTGCACATCACGTTCAAGTTTGTTAAAGTGTTTATCAAGTTCATTTTGTGCAGCCTGTCGATCAAAATTAATGGAGTTGAGAAGTTCTGTGAATTTCTTTCCTTGGGCATCTGTTAAATCAACTGATGTTCCGAGTTGACTTTCAAGCAAGTTTTTTCGCTGGGTGGCTAAACCCATCAATGCAGACACTTTGCGCAATTCTGCCTTTGCCACATCATCGATTTCAACACAGGGATGTCCAAAATGGTCAGTTATACAACAGTCTCTGCATACAGGAATTTTGTGTGTCTTACAGTAGAACTCGAGTGGCTGCTCAGCATGCTTGGAACAATCAACGTTTCTCTGACCCAAGCTCTCTATTGCGATCTTGGCATCTCTCTCTGGATCTCCGGTCAGTTTAACGCACTGATGAGATTTTGTTGATCTCATTCTGCCGTGATATATCTCACATATTTCACACATGTATTCGGCACATTCAACACATCTGGTGACAGCACTTGAATGGTCTTCACCCTGCATACATGTGTCACATTCAATGTCTTTCTCATCTTCTTGTTTGGCCTTTTCTAGAGCTTCAGCCATCGACTTCATGGTAAAGTTGGTCATATACGATCTTGCACCTTTTGCAGGAACGGCATTTTCACACATACATACTGGACAAGGGTATGTCTTTTTTCGATTGTCCTTTTCATCTTTGATCCATGTGCCCAAACATCCTTCACAGAATGTATGTAAGCATTTGAGCGACTTTGGTGTCTTCACTATCTCCAGACATATAGCACATTTCAAGAGTCCAGTATATTCTTCGATGAAAGATTTAGTGGCTGCCATTTTTGTGGGTGGAATATGTTTCAACAGGTAGTCTTAGATAGACCAAGGCAATGTCATACGCAAACTTTAAAATACAGTTTTGATAAGACAGCAAAGGTATAATATGTATATATACAGTTCCCAGGTGCTCCATAGTAGTTCCCTGCTCAAATACACGTAGCATATAGGAATTTGTTAAAGACATCTGGGTATCTGTCATTTTGAAGAGTATTGATAGTTTGTAACAATTAAACTGTTATCAAATTTACAATTGACAACGACTTGTTTGTTCTTTATTTCCTCAAAAATCATGAAGAGTTAAACAAATACATTGAAGAGTTGAAGACCCATGGAGTGGTTAGAATGACATGAAGATCTCTAACAAGACACAGGGTGAACAATATCGCATCCTTGAATAGAATATTAGAATGGTTGAAGTTGAACAAGTAGTCTATTATTTGTTTAATTATTCATAATATTTCAAAACAGATTCATTTTATATTGGATTCTTATTTCAAGAAACATGCCTTCAAAATTAATATCAATTCAAGAAGTGTTTTGCCTGGTTTTGCCCTCAAACACATTGTAAGCTTTGCAATTTTTGGGATGTTTCAGAATTTAAGTTGATATCTAATGATTTCAAACTTTACATACTGTTTTATACATTTTGATGGTACTATATTTGGCTAACTGATGATCAGACAAATGCACAGTCAGGTCCATAAAAGGACATGTGGCAGTTCACTATATCCCTCCTAAACATTGTTCATTGGGATAATGAAGACTATAATACTTGCACTAACTTGTGCAGTATGTTGGAGAGTAGGTTCATCCCATGGAGTGTGGTCTGATGACTCTGCAGCTTCACTGCTTGTTCTATTCCCCTGAGGATAGACTCCAAACCTGTAGTGAACAAAGACAGAGTAACGGTAAAGACTGCGCTTACAAGGAACAGTAAAACAAATGGATGGATGGGATTTAAACAAGGCATTAACATGCAAAATGTCACCACCTGCCATTTGTTACAAACACCAAGTACTGAATGTCAGACACTAACCACTGACCGAACACCATCCATAAAGAAGTTGGAGACTATAAAAATATGCATATAATGTAATATCGATATCAACTCCTATTTTCTATGTCATCTTATCAACAGAAGCAAAAGAGAGGGGATTTTTGTGAAACAGAATTGGAATGGTAATTTGCTATTTTTTATCCTGACATCACTATCTGTATTATCATATATGTGTCCACTGATTATCCGTATTGATTTTTCACCACTTGTGTGCATATGTTATGAAACATTAATATCAAAAACATTGACAATGACATATAAATTATTTCATGATAACCTTTAGATGTTAAGCAACTGAATAATCTATTGTAGAATAGCAACTGTCAAAACAAAAGACATGGTTAATTGCATGTTGAGTGTTTTTGTAAGACATGTTCCTTACACAACTTAGTACGAGTTGTAGAATTGTTGAATCATGACATAGATGCTCAAGTGTAGCTACAGTATACAAATTTATATGTATCCCATTCTGAGGTTCTAGGTAAATAACATATGGGAATACATACATGTGGGTTATGTACTGGGATCGAAGTTTTGGATATGGGGTTTATCCAGAGAGATACAGTATATCTACCTGAGACACTGTAGGGGGCATAGGATAAAGAAGTGAATTTTGGGAAACAGGATTGATATTTGGGAGCAGGATTGAAATTTCATTTGAAATTAATATAAATGCCACCTTACTTTACGACCAGGCCTAGTATACAGGGTGTTCCAAAAGTAACATGACTGGTGCTGGCATTTTGTTAAATATGCACCAATCGTCTTCAAAATATTACATAATGTACTTTCATGTATCGTTACTGAGACTGCAAAGTTTCTACAAAATATATGAAACTCGATAGAGTTATGGTTGCTATAGTAACATGACATCGCATCAGATACTTTCTTCAGTAATACAAAATGTTAGATATCACATTTTCAGGAAAAAAGTTGCCCCGGGTATTGGGATGTCATGTTACTATAGTAACCATAACTCTAACCGCATTTCATCATTTTTTCTGAAACTACAACTTTAGTTGCAATACTTCAAAGTACAATTTGTGAAAATTTGAAGACACTCAGTGCAAAATTGACAAAATGCCAGCACCAGTCCTGTTACTTTTGGAACACCCTGTACATGTATATTTTTAACATTTCAAGATAACAAATTATTCTAGACATGGTTGGCTATATGAAATCTCAGATTAAAAATATATTAGATCAAATTTATATGATGGCCCATTTGATTTATTGCTTGACTGATAGTATATTTCATTTGTAAGATGGATCACTTCTTGAAATTCCTTGAAATTAAACTGTTGCATGATGAGCTGGAATGGTGTGTTTGTAATGTAAAATAGATCTCTTGAAATTCCAAATATCACCAACTTACCATAAACAGCATGACATTTTTGAAAGAAAACATCACTTTCTGTGAATAGCAGTAAACAGCAGAACAGAGAACTGAAATTAGAAAAGTTTGTTAGCATTCTGATTTAAAAGAGTTCCTATTCTACAGCTTTTGAGATACATGTAGTGGACACTGTGAAACCAACAATGCAGTTTAGTATGTAACAGAAAATATACCACATATTGGAAACAATTGTACATTATAAGGTTTTATAGATGGCGTAGGAGTTTATATTTTCTATATACCTATATGAAGTACATACGTTACATAAACATCCCCCAAATAAGTTTGGAATGTCATACGTTAACTAAACGTTTTGTTATATCTCATTCTTCCACTGCTATTTTGAGAACATTGAGTTAATTAACTCATATCATAAAACTAAATTAAGATTTCAAAATAGCACTATGAATGCATGCATGGTCTTGTACATGTATATGGATATCCCACAGTCTCCTAAAGGAGGTGTTTTTCATAGTTATACCTCAGTAGTAGCTCATTTGTAGTAGGTAAAGCCTCGAAAAGAAACTCAGCCACATCACCCTGAAGCAACATCCCTGTAGCGTGCTGCCCTCTATCAGAGCTCACGATGCCACAGAGACATTGAATGACAGCAATTTGCAAAGTGGGTTTTTTGAGCAACAGGAGTTTCTTGATGACTGATGACAGAGTGGTTCCACTGTTGGAGTAGCTCACTAATTGATGGATTGCTCCAGGGACTGCAAACATTTTCTTCAGTAAACCTGTAACATGTGAAGTACATGTATACTGATAAGTAATCAACCAGTGCTGTGCTGTGTCTGAGGTGTGTCAACAGAAATGCAAATTTGCATGTGTGCCACCAAACTCCCATTTCGCAAGAATGCCAATAAACTTCTGTTTTCTATTTTCAGATTGGTAAGCAGGTTCAATATCAAAAGAACTGTCCTCTATATTAAGTACAGGGTGTTCCAAAAGTAACAGGACTGGTGCTGGCATTTTGTTAAATATGCACCAATCGTCTTCAAAATTTTACATAATGTACTTTCATGTATCGTTACTAAAATTGCAAAGTTTTAACAAAAAATATGTAACTCGGGTAGAGTTATGGTTGCTATGGTAACATGACACCACAATACCCGGGGCAACATTCCAAGCAGAAAGTTACATTAAGACAGAAAGAGACATTAAGCATTTTGTACATCCCATATCAAAGTTAAAATGCAACAACTGGTGGGAATTACATTTGTTTTACATAATTTGATATTCCTATGTATCCTATGTACTTTGAAAAATAGGCTCCTATTTGGTCAGTAGAACACTCTGTATCCATGACACATGAGTGAACCCATTTGAGGACATGTCACGCATGGTCGATTGAACAACTTTTGAGAAGGTCATTCTCATCTTTAAAGATCTTGCAGCACTGATTAGCATTCCATTCCCCATGTAAGTAAAAATTGGATGTTGCATGATCAGAAGAGTATGGTACGTGGTTTTAGAACTCAAGACCTAGTTCCTCTATAGCCGCATGGTCTTTAATGATGACCTGCGGGCAGGCGCCTTATCGAGGTGGATGACTGGCTTCAAATTGGGTCTTTTCAAAAACTCAACCATAAATTGTTCAGACTGTAATTCATAGTGATATTCCAGGAAATTGAATAAATATTATTATAATGAAATTATACTTGAATCTGAGTTTTATAGCAACACCTTTACAACAAAGCAACTAATAAAATAAATAAGAAATGTTGAATTATAATAGAGGAAATAGATACTTTCTTCAGTAATACAAAAATGTTAGATATCACATTTTCAGAAAAAAAGTTGCCCCGGGTATTGTGATGTCATGTTGCTATAGTAACCACAACTCTACCTGCATTTCATCATTTTTTCTGAAACTATACAATTTTAGTTGCAATACTTCAAAGTACAATTTGTGAAAATTTGAAGACACTTGGTGCAAAATTGACAAAATGCCAGCACCAGTCCTGTTACTTTTGGAACACCCTGTATGTGCCACAAATATGATTATAATTAAATGTACATGTGTATATGGAATAGAAATACAAGGAAATGCTGTATCAAACATATGTCTGATTAATTAATCATATTTTCATATATTTTGGCTCATAAATATTTATTGCTGCGTTTGTTGTGCATGTCTCAATGTCTACAATGAAGAATTAAATCATCAACTTTCCTTTTAAAGCTTAAAGGTGCTGCCATCTTTTATGTAAATAAAAGTATGAAATATTTATTGATGCAGATGCCCATCACTTAATGACAATTTTTCAAATAAATACTAGGTTTTGGGCTATGTCACAGCCAAACCCTCATTCCACAATGATAAGCATACTCGTTATTACCGTAACCGTGAATCATATAATCTTAAAAAGCGATCGCATCGACGAGGAGGTCAAAGAAAGCGCAAACGTAAAAACATATCTTTTAAATTCGCCTATAATAATGCCCAACGGTTCGGCGTGGCGAAACAAATCCAACTCAACCAAATTCTTCGCGATCATAATTATGACCTGTTTGCACTCACAGAAACATTTTTCAGTGATACTAACACCCCAACCATAATAAATGATGACTATATTTGGAAGGGTAAAGACAGACATGGTAAAAAAGGTGGTGGAGTTGGGTTTCTAATTCACAAAAGTATAATCTTACTTAATGACAACCATTTTGATTCTAAAGATGATGAATATGAGCGTTATTGGTTGAAACTTAAAATGGGAAACCAAATATTCCATGTCTGCTCAGTATACTTCCCTTGTGATGGTCGGGACATGGAAACATCCCAATCTTTATTTGATGAGCTCACACATAATATTGCATCCATTAATGATAACAGTAATATCTTAATCATGGGTGATTTCAATGGAAGACTGCCTTTTTTCAGAAAGGCCAATTTTTCGAGCCCAAATGGTGATCTTTTACAAATGTTCAACGAGGTTTCCAATATGCACGTCCTAAATTGCTCTGATAGGTGCCATGGTGAGATAACATGGTCACGTAATGAACAAGTGTCTACTATTGATTATGTTTTAGCTAATGAACATTTTCTTTCTAACTGTTTTGATAACATGGTGATTGATGAATCTAAGGATGTTTCAATAGGAAGCGATCATAATGTCATTATTATCAAGGGTAACATTATACATGAACACAAACCCTTACAGAGTAAAACTGTTCCTAGTTCATACACCCGTTGGGATATTAAGGATGACACCAATTGGGATTCATTTCAATTAGCCTTGAGTGATGAGTTCAAATCCTGGTCATTAGACAACCATTATGACGTTGAGTCTATTTGGCATTCTTTCAAGTCAAAATTAATTAATGCTGGAAAAACTTCAATTGGGTTAAAGCAAATTTCAAATAATTGTAGGGATTTCTGGGATTTAGAACTAAAGCAGTTGATCAAAAATAGAAAAGATGCAAGTCACTTTCATAGGCTTTGGCAGAAATCAGAGTCGGCTGACCCTGCTGTTATTAAAGAACTCTGGGAAATCTACCAAGACCTAAAAAAGCAAGTTACCACTAAAATTAATGAAAACAGGGTAAAAAATCATATCAAACTTATTACTTGTAATGCTCATAAAAGCTCCAAATCCTCAAAAAGCTATTGGAAAACCCTTAAAAAATTCAATGCAAAAAGTAATTTCCCTATTAGAATGAAAGATCCAGACGACCCTGATAATGTGATAACAGATCCCAAAAAGGTTAATGATGCTCTAAAACAATATTGGCAGAATGTAGGGTCAAAATATAGAAATCCAATGTCTCCCCCAAACAATGCAGCCGAAAGAGTAAAAGAATTAGGGACTAACATTAATTTTGATGCTAATGCAATGACCACAATAAACATTGATCCTACTCTAATTTCAACACAAATATCAGAGCTTGCCAATGGTAAAGCGATGGGTGTTGACCAGATTCCTAATGAGTTTCTTAAAAAGGGGAAAACTATCATTGCCCAACCACTTTCGGATCTTTTTAACCGCATCAAAATGCATGAACATATTCCAGATGAATGGCAATGTGGTATCATAAAGCCTTTATATAAAGAGGGTGACCCTGAAGTGTTTAATAACTACCGTGGAATCACAATTACTTCCAATGTCTATAAACTCTTTTCAGGAATACTCGAAGTTCAGATTATGAATTTTCTAAGAGACAATAACATTCTTGGTGACCTTCAGGGTGCTTACCAAAAAGGGAAAAGACTCGAGAACCACATTTTTACCCTTAAGGGGCTTTGTAGCCTAAGAAAAGATAAAAAGCTCAATTCTTATCTTGCCTTTATTGATATCTCGAAAGCTTTTGATGTTCTAGACCGCGATCTCCTTTTTGTTAAACTTTGGGAAAAGGGAATACAGGGAAAGACATGGCGAATGTTAAAATCCTTATACTCAAATTCCACAAACAAAGTTATTTTTGGTCAATATAGCACTGAATATTTTGACACACCATCTGGTGTTAAACAGGGCTGTATTTTATCTCCCACCCTTTTTTCCATAGTAATGACTGACCTTGTAGATAGTCTTAATATGTCCACTCTGGGCTTGCCATATAATAACTCTAAAATCCCATGTCTCTTATATGCAGATGATATTGTCCTTATGGCCCAGACAGAAATGGAATTACAGAAAATGCTTTCTATTACAAATGATTTTGGGCTTAAGTGGGGTATGCAATTCAGTGAAAAAAAGTCAAAAGTAATGATAATTGGAAAACGAATTGATCGAAAGAAAAAGTGGCATTTGGGAAAGCTTTTACTTCCTGAAGTCAATGAATATAAATATCTGGGTGTAATGTTCAACAGATCTTTAAAAGAAACATCCCACATTAAGTATATTGAAAAGAAAGCGAAGAATATGAAAAATTACATAACCATGACATTGGCAAAACACTGTAATGTTAAAAGATTTGATTTTGGAAGTACCATATTTAATTCAATGGTAATGCCTGCGCTCTTACATGGTTGCCCCACGTGGGTTCTTTCTAAGTCAGCCAAATCCAAAATTAATGCATTCCAATACTCCGCAGGTCAAGCAGTTTTTCAAATTAAAAGTAAGCCAGCAAGAGAAGCATTACTAGGTGATCTAGGATGGAAACCATTGTGTGACATTTTGGAAAAAAGACAACTAGAGTATTTTAATTATCTCAATTATGATTTACCTACATCTTCTCTCCCTCACAAAGTTTTAAGGTCATTACTACAATGTTATAAGGAAGGTAAAGAGTCATACTGGAAATTTATATCCAATATACATAAAAGTGTTACAGATAAGGGCTTAGATGATGTTATTTACAGAAATGATTGCGATTGGTTTTCCTCATTTTTAGACATATCTAAAGCACAAAGATTAGAAAAGTTTCATGAGAGTATCTCAAATCATGATTCTCTTTACATCTACAAAAATGTGAAATCTGACTACAAACTAGAGAACTACTTGAAAAATGATCTAGATTTTTATGGTGCGAGACTAAAGTTTTTAGCAAGAAGTAACAACTTTTGTTTAGAAACAAACTATGAAAAATGGGATAAGAGTGATGGAATATGTAAATTGTGCACACTTGAAGTGAAAGATACAATGCATCATAGATTATTATTGTGTCCCTTTTTTACCAAGGAAAGATCTGTTTTTTATAGTAATGTTAATACATATGCCTCCAGTGATCTTTGTGCAACACTGCTTGCATCAAGTAATGATCAAAAGTTAACGACCATGCTTGGTGATAATGTGGA